GGGGGGGGGAGTTATAGCACAGGCATATAACACAACCATGGCATATGGCTGCACCAGGCAGGACGAAACCTTGATCAGGACCTTTATACAGCCAATGCATAAAATGCCCCCACAGAGGTCAACCTGTGCCCACTGGCTTTGCGGTCTCAAACCAGATTCCTTCCAATGACTTCTCTTTTAGAATTTGCATCCTAATAGTTTTCGATCTTGAGTAAGACTCCTTGCAGAATTTGCGTCCGAATGGTTTGGGATTTTGAATAAGACTCCTAGAATGCCTTCTCCTCACAACCCTCGGAGTCGTCTCGGTCCACAAGTCAACTCCGGAAATTACGAGGAGTGGTCATTTTCAAAAAAGGTGAGTACACTAATTAAGTATTCCCCCAATCCGTTTACGTATTACAGGGAATTTAGGCGCTAAAACTTAACATAAAATCTGTCGTAGCTTGACAAATGTTATGCTTGGCTTGGGGTTGGGAGACCACCCATCTTTTGAGTTATGGGTTCGAAAATGTCACTTATTGTGTTCTCCAAGGATTCAGACAAGTAAAATTTTGTGTGACTTTCTAAAGAACCAAGCTGCCGGGGGGTCTTCCTCTTTCGTTTCGCATCTGCCTTGACCAGTCGTTTTTCTATTGTCTTTTTCATTGGAGAGTTTGGGCTAAAACTCCTTCTTGAGGGAAAGAAACAGCCTATGTACCTCTCGTCCATTTGCTGTAGGTTATAAGTAAACCTAACCAAACAGGTTAATTTACCCGGATTCAAACATTCTACCAAATTAAATTTAGCTGGGGTAGGCAGATCGGTTACAAACCTGACTAAAAGATCCAACAACTCTGAGAAATCAGGAACCTACAGAAACACTTGATTAAAATATTTAAATGATGAAACACAACAGACCAAAATGACTATTAAATTTCTGCTCCAGAAATAGAAATTACTACTGCTATCCCTTATAATAACATGGGCAAGAATAATTTACACAACTGTTTGTCTTCTCGTCTGTTGTCCAAAAACATAAAAATTTGAATATACAAAACTATAATTTTGCCTGTGGTTCTGTATGGGTGTGAAACTTGGTTTCTGACATTAAGGGATGAACATGGACTGAGGGTGTTTGAGAACAGGGTGTTAAGGAAAATATTTGGACCAAAGAGGGATGAAGTGACAGGAAGTTGGAGAAAACTGCATAATGAGGTGCTTCATAACTTGTACTCTTCTCCAAGTATAATTACAATGATCAAGTCAAGGAGGATGAGGTGGGCAGATCCTGTAGCACGAATGGGGAGACGAGGAATGCGTATAGGATATTGGTGGGAAAGCAAGAAGGAAAGAGACCACAGGGAAGACCAAGGCATAGGTGGGTGGACAATATTAGAATGGGTCTTAGAGAGACAGGATAGGATGGTATGGATTGGATAGATCTGGCTCAGGATGGGGACCAGTGGAGGGCTCTTGTGAACACAGTAATGAACCTTTGGGTTCCATAAAATGCTGGGAAATTCTTGAGTAGCTGCAGAATTGGCGGCTCCTCCAGAAGGGCTCAGCTCCATGAGTAAGTAAGTTTCTATAAACCTGCATACATATAGGATATTGGTGGGAAAGCCAGAAGGAAAGGGACCACTAGGAACATGAAGACATAGGTAGGTGGACAACATTAAAATGAATCTTAGAGAGACAGGATGGGATGGTATGGACTGGATCGATCTGGTTCAGGATAGCGACAAGTGGAGGGCTCATGTGAACGGAGTAATGAACCTTCAGGTTCCATAAAATGCTTGGAAATTCTTGAGTAGCTGAACAATTAGTGGCTTGTGAAGAAGGGCTCAGTTCCATGAGTGAGTATCCTTGAATGCCGATGACAGCAGCCGAGCAGTCTAAGGCATGAAACATCTTCACCCACTCAAACATTGGGATCATGGGTTTGAATCCCACGCAAGACACATATGTTTGTTTGTGTTTATTCTGTTTGTGTTTTCCTGTATAGGCAGTGGCCTTGCATTGGGCTGATCCCCTGTCAAAGGAGTCCTACTGACTGTCTTAGATTAAGAAAGCAAAGAGAAACAAACTGTTACATGATGCCCTATGCTCCAAATGGGAGCAACAGGAACAAATAGATACAGATAGTAAAACTATTGTTCACACTTCATTGAATGAAATAACTGAACTTCTCCTCTAACAATAAATTCATGTCACTCTTCACAAAGGCAAGGGGTGCAGCATTAAGTACACACAATTCAAAATGTTTAACTATTATATGAACACACTTTCATTAGACAAACCAGAATAGCTGGGCATCATACAAGTACTGAATGAAATAATTATTCTTCCGGAGATACTAAGTATTTCATGGTATTCTTGATTAAGTTCTGTCTCTATTAAGAACATTCAATTATCATCTACTAGTACATGATGTGATGTAGTCTGGTAGTAGTTACCAATGTTTCAGACGACCTGCTGTGTTCATGTTCACAGAAGAAAATTTTCTTATTCTTCTTATTCCGGAAGATGGAGGTACCAGGTTCCTCCGAAATGATGGTAACTATCCATCAGATGGCATGGGAACCTCATCACATACACATATATCCCACCCTCTGTCCTATACTCATTATAATAATTTACTTATTTACTCATGGAGCTGAGCCCTTCTGAAGAGCCGCCAATTCTGCAGCTACTCAAGCATTTCCCAGCATTTTATGGAACCCGAATGTTCATTACTGTGTTCACAAGAGCCCTCCACTGGTCCTTATCCTGAGCCAGATCAAACCAATCTGTACCATCCCATCCTATCTCTCTAAGATCCATTTTAATATTGTCCACTGACCTGAGATTATAATAATTTACTGGACAAAAAATTAATACCATAAAGAAATTTACAGAAATTCTGTTACACAACAATAAGGAGGTTTGCCTAGAAGGAAACACAGAGGAAATTAAGTATATAGTAATGACCTGCCATTAGAATGCAGAACAAAATCCTAATATAAAGTTAATGAATCCTTGACAATGTGGCAACATTAACTATTTTTATGACATACAAAGCAGTTAAAGCAGAATAAATTCAGGGAATGCTTGGTATCATTCAGTTCTCAGCTATTCCCCTTACCATCTCATATCTTGACACTTAAAAATTAAAACATACAAAGTTGTAATTTTACCTGCTGATTTATATGAGTGTCCAACTTTGTCTCATGACAATATGGGAAAAACATTGGTTGAAGGTGTATGAGAAAGGCATGCCAAGGAGAATATTTGGATTTAAGAGACATGATATCAGGATTATGGAGAAAACTGCATATGACAGGCTTCATAATTTGTACTGTGTACATAACACATATATTGACAGGGTGATCAAATCAAACAGATAATATGGATAGGTCCATGCAGCATAAATATGGGCAATGAGAAGTATGCAAGCTCAGTAAAAAAAAAAAACATTATTGGAATAGAACATTTAACAGACATAAGCATACGATGGCCAGGGTTAATAATAAGACGAATTAAAGTGGCTTGCACGAGGGTCAACTGGCAGGTTCTGGTGAGAACTGAACAAAACTTTGGATTCCACAGACTACGTATCATAGCTCCTATCAGCTTCTCAACAGCAATTCTACACTGTGGAGTTATTAACTTACTTTCTTCTTTAGAACCTTCTGTGAATACACAGTCACACTTAATCAGACCAAAAACGTGAATTATTTCGGTAACCCGTAACGGTGCATTCTCAAGTTGAAATAATACTTACAGCACAAGGGCCAACAAGCAGTATTTTCAATTTATACATCACTATCATTCACGAAAAACAAGTTATGCATTCAACGTGATCACATGGCACATTCACTTCAACCGGAATGTATTTCCACATTCTGTGGACGTTTCCATAGCAACAGTCCAACATACAAGAAAATAAAGGACATTACGCTTAGTTCTGCTTTATTTTTTCAACTTACACATAATTAAATATTACAAATTTATTTCACAAAACAAATGCGTAATTAACTAATCAACATCGAATGACAACTAGCTTCTCTTGGCATTTGAAAGCAAGTACATGTGCTATTTACGCTATTTACCACGGATTATTAAATGGTGCCTGTCGATACTTATCGATACGAATCACTGCCTAACATCATTTATTTATTTGTGTCTTTCACATTTCGCCTCAGTTTCCTCGGTTACCTCGGTTGATTATGTGCAGGTGCTACAGCTCGTCCAGCTACACAGCGCTCGTTTGTTTTGTATGCAGAATGTATACCCCTTTTAACGTAGAGCATAATACTGTGTTATAAAAATGGAGTTTCCTCGGTCGTGTGGGTGTAAAGGAATACGAACTTGTTTGATATGCGAGAAGAAATGTGGAATACAAAAGAAAGATTTCATTGGCCTGAAACAGGTCCGTATCATAATATATATAACCTAAAACCTTGTAACAGGTTTACTGAAGTAAACTATAGAAGACATCGGCATAGTTGTCCCTGTGCCTAATTAATTAAGAACTATGTCATAAAGAGATGGGGGGGAGTGGAGGTATAGCTCCACCCTCCTTCCATCCACACTGGATGGAGGTGAGTGGTCAGTCTCATGACCCACCTGCTTTAACTTCCCCTCCACAGGGAAGGAGCTTCCAGTTCCCATTGGGTGGGCTCCAGAGCCAGTCTGGATGCTGTGGGGTGGAGAAAAATCTCCTGCCCCTTCCAGGAATGGAAGCCTGGATGTAGTGCCTGTACCCTATCACTTTACTCACTAAACTATCAGCATAATATGTACTTGCTGCAAATGGAAGTTATTAAATTTCCAAAAGAGTGTTCTTGAAGAGACCGTGCTTTTAAAACCTGCCATTCTAATTTTTCTTTTATCCTAAATACTTTATTTCTGTCTGTTGAATTTCCCAAGAAGATTAACCCATATGACACTACGGAGTGGAGGTAAACAAAGTAAACAAGGTACCTATTGTAATCAGTGGTATGACTGTCCTCATGGCAAGCATGCAACGCATAGTTTGCGAATAATATATTTAGTGTGTTTCTTCAAGTTCATGTTGTTGACAGTTTGATCCTACTCCCTCAATTAATTTGTTGTCAAAACCTGTTTTGAAATTAAGACATGTCTTTATCTTAGCAGAAATTTTTATGTGATTGAGGTTAGATCTTTCTGAGGGACCCAACAGACTAGGTGCTTTTCCCCCCTCATCTGAGGATGGAAACAGATACAGTTTCTGAAACATTGTGTTTTCTGGTTTCTAGAATACCCAACAATGGACAAGGACCAAAACCCCAGTAATTCTGAGAAAATTTTATGTAGGTTACATCATAAAAATTTAGTACCACTTTCTTAGCTTTAAACCTATTAAGTTAGTGAACCTGTATTTCAAAGTTGTAGGGAGAACATTAAAATGTATATATAGGAGGAAAAGTTAGGGACCTAGTACCAAACCTTGTGGTGGTCCATGATTTACAGTGCCCCAGTTTGAATAGGTGAGATTTAAACCATTATCCTGCTATACCTTGAATTCCATAAAATTTCTCTTTCATTAATGATAATTCAGATAATTCATGGTTTAGATGCTTGGGTGAGGCCACTAGATATTTCATCCACATGCATTTTAATATTTAGGGCACATAAGATTTCACTTGTGAACTAAATAAAGCTTTCTGTTTGAGAGACTCTTTTACAAATCCAAAGTGTTACCCTGTAAGGATGTTTAGTGTGACATTGCCATATTGCTCTCTGTGTTGTCATCATTGGCAGCCTGTTCTGAGCCATATCTTTCCTTAAAAGATCCTGCAAGATTTATAGACCATTTGGTTTTCACTTCTTTGGATTTTGGAACAGTAATTCTTTTACCAAGCAAGGTTGTCAGCCCCACATCAAACTCCAATCTGGAGGACCAGGTCTATGTATTTATGTCCCCCAGTGACAGGATAGCCCAGTTATACCCTCATGCACAGGGTTCCCTTTTTGTTTTCTACACCTTGCAGGGCTGTGGTGGAGGTATTCTAACGTGCCTCCACATGGGAATGCTTCAAATTAGCTGTGCATTTATATATTGTGTCAATACCAGCATGCTAATCATTAATATTAATGTACAGAGAAGTAAACTCGGCTGTTTATTTAATCACAACCACTGTTAGAGTTCGAGCTTCCCAGTGAAGATTCTCCTATATTGACGCGTTCCAAGATTTCATCGCTTCAGGAGCCGTGTATAAAAGAATTCATATTGCAGATTTTCTGTGTGCCTGTTGCCTTGTGTGTCATCTTTTCAATACTGGAAATATTAAATGTATTTTTCTGTTCCATATAACCCTATGAAAGTTCCCATTTTATTTCCATGGGTTAGTACTACCAGTTGTAAGGAAGGCATTAAACATACCACTCAGTGACCATGTGCCTGAGCTGTGATGTTTAAGTTCATTAGTGTTCTGCCTCAGTTTGTTTCCATCCACTAATTCAAAAACCTCTACTCATGTTTGTGTGTCAGAATGAGGTGTATTCTTATTGCAAAGCCATGCTGCAATTTCACTCTTCCTTGTCTGGATAGTTCAAGCATTGTACCTAACTTTGTCCACAACAGTAACTGCTTTGGGCTTCAAATATGGTCAAAATTTGGTAAGAAACCATTCCCAGAATGTTTCCAAGTTAATTTCTGTATGATAATTAGTTCAGTTTTGCTCTGCTTCCTACCTGCCTCATGCTGGTTTCTTGCTTGGCTTATTTTTTGGCCCTGGAGATGGTGACATGCTCCCCTGAAATGCTGGTTGACTTTCAGTGGCCTGCATGGCATTATATCCCAGAAGATAAACTCTTCATGATCTCTGTTCAGAAAACCTCAAAGTCTACATAATTTGCTCTTGTGTACAGACCCAACATGACACTTTATACTGTTTGGGGCTCTAATCTTTGGATTTGCAAGGAATGCAGAAAGCCTGAAGTGCTAAACGTGCAATGAACAGTGACCGCTACCTGATCAAGAACATTGACTACTACAGTGTCTGTGCAAGCACATGATTATGCTAGTGGCTGGTATGCTCTGAACTGGTGCTGTACTACTATATAATATACTATATGGGTCTCTTTCCCCTTCTTTTATCTGTTCTTCTTTCACCTTGCTTCTTCACCCCTTAAACCTCATCCATTCCCATCATTCATGTGCCAACATGATTTCCATGTGTGATTCTGGTTAATCCATTTCTCATCTAAATAACAAATATGTGTGTTGCACTGTTTTCAAATTTTATGCGCTGTACTGAGGAACCTAATTCTCACAGCTACTATATTGCTACAGTCCATTAAACACTTTTTCCATCATTGTGATTAGCATATTTAAACCCAGCCTTTAAAATATAGTACTTAGATGAACAACAGCTTCTCTCATGTCAGGAACCAAATTTTTGGCTGTTGGCATTTCACTTCAATCACATACTTTCAACACCTTATGTCATAGACCATTAACAAAATTATCAGTGGCAGTTATTTTTCTTTTTTTGCTTGTGAGTTTTCCCTGGAAATGACAACTGTACATTTCCACCTATTTTCAAGGATGACTTGGTGTTACTTAAAATTCTCACCACAGTTCTAACTCTTATACTGCTATAAGCTTAGCACTGTGTTTGTTGTAATTTGATAATGGCACACAATACTGCCCAGATTAGACATAACCCAGCCAAGACATGGTTTTTAAACTATGTCTTTTTAGTCTGCCAGTATAAATTGACACTAAAGCAATGCTGTTACACCAGTACACCAAAATTGCAACTAGAAAACACATACTTCACAAGGAATTCCTTTCAACAAGACAACTGTAACTCAAATGGCAAATAAAATAGTCTCTTAGAGCAGTATCAAAAATTATATATTTCTTTAATTTGCTTAGTGCGGGGTGGAGTCCACCTGGGTCCACTTGGCACGGCAGCCACTCATTTGCCTATTGTAGCCTGCCCCAGCTGATTATGATGGAGAATTTGGTGGAATGAAGATTGGCAGGGGAAACCAAAGTATTTGGAGAAAACCTGCCCCAGCATCGCTTTGTCCACCACAAATCCCACTTAACCAGGGTCGCCGCGGTGGGAAGCCAGTGACTAACCGCTTGAGCTATGGTATGGCCTAAAAATTATATTTACTGGTATAGATATTAAAAATCTATGTGCAGTGTTTGTTCGTGTTTTGAGACAGTTAGTTTGTACTAGACGCCCTGTCTTGTTATGTGTTGTGTTTAGGAGAGAAATGCTTATGTATATTGCCCATGGTGCAAGAAAGCTTGGCCTGGATGGGATGTATTTACCTATGAAGAGCATCTCAATCACAGTGGGACATCTCTCGACTTCCCAGGCATTTTTATTAAGGTAATTTAATTGAAAAGAAAAATTATAAATTATATCCCATGTACATGAGGATGCTGTAATATTTTTTTCATTGTTAAAATAGTTAAATTAACATCTTCAGTCATATTCTCTTCTTATAGCTAGATTTTCTCAATGTTGCTGAAGAAGAGTGTCTGATGAGTGGCATAGATAAGATGGCTTGGGATCCATCACAGAGTGGAAGAAGAAAACAGGTAATCCTAAATCAAATATGAATTCATGCAACTTCATATAAAAACATGTAGTTATATCTCCAAACTGATGTTCATAAAATGTGATTACACAATTCATTTATTTAGAATAATAACTAAGTTGAGACCTGACTTCTTGATGTTTTCAGAACTTTGGTCCGAAATGCAATTTTAAAAAGAAGCGACTGAAACTTGGCAACTTCAAAGGTTTTCCAGGATTCACCAGATTTGTACAGGAGAAGTTTAAAGATGTAAACATCTTGAAAGGCTATCGCACAGTGGAACAGTGTTCTTTGGAATACAGTCCCACAAGGGGAGCATCTATTGACCCTCACATTGATGACTGTTGGGTATGGGGTGAACGCATAGTCACAGTTAATCTATTAGCTGACTGCATTCTCACAATGACTCAGTATCATGGAGAAGCTAGTCGTTACAATCTCCGAGATGTTGACACATATCCACCAGTATTGAACGAAGATGGAAAGGTCATTGATGAATGTAAAAATGCAGATTCTTCTGAGTCCCTTCCACTCAGAAACAGTGGCATGGATAATTCAGCAAAGCAAGTTGGAACAGATGTTGTTGTGCGTGTCCCCATGCCCCGTCGATCACTTTTAGTTATGTATGGTCCAGCTCGATATTTATGGGAACACACTGTGCTTAGGGAAGATGTTCTCCAACGTAGAGTGTGTCTAGCTTATAGGGAATTTACACCTACATACCTCGAAGGAGGGAAACATGCATGTGAGGGCAGTGTCATTTTAGACATGGCAAGAAATTTTTGGGATCATAAAAGTGCCGATTCCATAAACTAATCCAAATGAGTTGCAGTTTCAAATTTTGACATATTTTATTATTTTATGAGTGAATCATGCTATAGGCAGGATATGCAATTCCTGAAAAATCAGTTAGGCTTTTTCTCTTCATATCCACAACAGCTCTGGGCACTATCTCTCCTCCCACCTGAAATGTAAGAAGTGCTGCTGTCTCAGGCATTGGTTTCTTATCCCATTTTTGCATTCTGGTTTTGGCTGATACCTCCTCCTGAATGTCCTTCATTTCAAGGTCCCTCATACCATGTTGTCCCTGGTCTGATTTTTCCTGACATTTCCCTAGTGCCATGCCATGGTGGGTCATTCTGCTGGCAGCAGTCAATTTGTTCCAGGACCCATCCTTTGGCTTGCGGTGGCATTCTGCAGCTAGATTCCAGCCCCTATGCTGCTCATATGGGTCTCTGCCATTTACCACTGCTGCATGTTCCTTAGGGACCTCCCGATGCTCTACCTTGGCCTACATTTCCTCTGGATTTGCCTTAAAATCTGTGACCTCTGTATTTCCTAGGCAGGACATTCTCCTTTTGTGCTCGGCATCCAAATGAGCCATCGTCTCCTTGTGGGCAGCATCCATCTTTTCCAGCGTGGCTTTCAAATTGGCATCCATTTTTGCCAGCAGTTGTTCTCAGTCTGCGTCAGCTTTTGCTTAGTTGGCTTTTCTTAACTATATGATGCAGTCTTAAATCTAGTAATTCAGTCAAATCAATCAAATCCAACCCGTGATCTGTAAAGTACAGTCAGGAGCTACGAGTGTATAAGTGGTCAACAGAGCAAGTCACTGATCCAAACCCCATGTGTAGTCACCCATACACACGACGATATGTATATGCAATACATTAATCTCAATATATGAGTTTTAATTCTAGAGTTTAGAGCACAGATTTCACATAATCTTTCTTGTCTGGGAAAAGGGGATTTAAATCTTCCACTTATGTCATAGTAGTGGCCATATTTCAACTTTGGTAACACTGTTTACATTGAAAGCAGAGTGATGCTAGGCTTGCTGGATCCTGTACATGTATAGTCACAGTAGTATGACCATGGATAAGAGTTAGCTTAAAGGAAATCCTGTAACATACTGTAATAAAAATGTAATTAAATTTTATACAGATAAATGATAAAAAAAAGGTTTATTTTACATAACTGTGTGTTTCACACTACTGATATGTGTTTATGTAACATCACATCCATACTAGTTACAAATAATGGGACAATGCACAAACTACACAATTCTAAGAATTATGCTTATGTTTGTGGTTATTCCGTTTGACTATAATGTCTTAAAAAATTATGAACATTACCCTTTGGTTTTATCTCCAGCTATAATGACAGAAAAAGATAGTCACATCAGATGCAATAGATTCACAATAAACACGAAAACAAAAACAATACAAATATAACTTTGAAGAAACTGGTTCCAACAAAAATTGTTTTCAAGAAGAGGTTGAAAAATCGTCCATAGATTCCTGTTCCTCCAGCTTTAGTATTCAGTATGGCGTTAACAATCCCTTACCATACAAATACAACTTACACATTATGACAGAAGGTCTCAAAATTGGCTACACTCAGTTTCCGCACCCCTTTGGCCATTACTTACAGCGGAAAAAAATAAAATCGGATACTTTTTGGACAGTGGTTTATTTGAAAAAGGGAACATACCTGCCTTTCAGTCATTGGACATTCAACTTAACCACTTTTAATTTAACATTTAATTAATGTTGAATAAGCAATCAATAGAGAGCTTGAGTAAGGGATGTAAAAATGAATTTTTTTTTAATTCGCTTATTGGGGGTGGAGTCCAACTGGGTCCACTCGGCATGGAGGCCACTGATTGGCCTATTGTAACCTGCCTCGGGTGATTATGATGGAGACTTAAGACTGGCAGGGGAAACCGAAGTACTTTGAGAAAACCTGCCCCAGCGCCACTTTGTCAACCACCAATCCCACTTGACCAGACCTGGGATCGAACCTGGGCCGCCGCAGTGGGAAGCCAGTGACTAACCACTTGAGCTATGGCACAGCCTACGAGTAAGGGATGCAAGTACAGTAGAGAGTATGGCGATACTAGATGCAGATTCAAGATGGGCTCCTACAAGGAAACAGAATAATGAAGAAGGATTTCCCACAAGATGACCAACCTGATGGAAATAGCACTTTAAAGCTGGAAGGTTAAGATAAGCTGGGCATATATTAACGATGGGCAGTATGGGCATGCTAACACATTAACCTTTATAATAAGCATTAATGGCAAACAGGACTCAGCAGATGAAGTGTGAGGTGGCTGGATATCTTCAGGACTTCAGAAAACCAGAAGGTATTACTAACTGGAGTTGCAGAAAGGTTGACAACCTTATGCAGTGCTGTGGTCAAGGAGGCCAGGGCCAGAATTTCACTATGGAGCCTGAAAGATGGAGGTGTGTGTTAGAGAAATACGTAACCCCATTTACAATTGTGAATCCAGCATCTGAATCAGCTTTCTACTTTCTGAATGTTACAACATGAAATACAACTGACCTAACTTACACATAAATGCTTGTTTCCCAGCCTCATAATCTTTGGCTATTTTATTATCACTCAGGCTTATTTAACTTTTGGTAGTTCCATGAAAATACATTGCAGTTTGAGATTCGCTGTAAAACTTGCTGCATGACGTCAGTAAATGCAGTGATGATTATTGTATATACATATATACAAATAACAGTTCTTACTAACACATTCTTTCTAGAGCTACAGAAGGTTAACAGTGTGGTCTATCCTCACTGCAGTATTCTCCATTCACAAGGCGATCCTAATAAAATTCCAAATTTTCACACTTTTCATCTTCATAATTGTCCTAAAATCTATACACTTGTAATCCCCATATACATATTAAGGAGGCATCATACTGTTTAGTTTGTGTAAATGTATATTATCAAGACAAACAGATTTTCTTTATTCTGTGGGGGGAGGGTGGTTATACAGAGATCTGTTGCATGTACACTGCATAGTATAAATATACAAAAAAGTAAATCACTGAAACATATTCTTATGATTCCAGGTAGAGGGCCATAGTTACATGGATCATAATATTACAGTTCCAAGCATCAGTTTGCCAAATTGTTAAAACCTGCAGTGCACAGGTGGACCCAAAATTCAGTTAACTGGTTAGTAAAATGTATAGTAAAGTAAGTTAGAAATTTCTTATTACCTGCTGAATTTCCTCAGTGTTCAATGCAAACTTCATAATGCTGTGATACCATTCTACAAATTGACTGGCAGGTTTAAATCTGAACATTCCTTTTCATACAAGAGAATGTTTTAGGTGGAGTGACTTCTGGGCCACTCTGTATAATCCAGTTATAGGTTGAGTCTTGAGAGTATCACATTAATAATGTGCTCTCAATACTTCAGTGATATGAAGTGTGGACTGTTTGAATGTAATATGGCAGGAATGCTTAATGAGTTACAGACATGAATTTATACAGCCACAATCTTGCTGGGGTCAACCTTCACTCTAATAAACATTGTGTCATCTTTGAGGAAATTCCGCTTTTTCAGCATTTCATGTGACACAAATCGAGGGAAACCAAAACCCAATGAATCTGGTTCCTTACTTGGGCGCTGAAAGTTCTTCCATGTTGGATCCGGTATGAAGCTCTCAACAATGTTACAGGCCTGGAAACATAAGAAAATTGAACTCGGTGGTTAGTAAAATTATCTGGTAGAATATCAGCCACTGCTGTTTACAGGCCAATGCAGTGGAAAGTATGAGTTTTGTTATGCCATTAACCAAATCTGATACTAAATGTAATGTCTGCTCTTAATACCATGCTATAAACATGAAAAAGGAATGGGGGGGTAGAGTTCATGCATTAACCTCTGATTTAAATTGATGTCACATTGAGAATAAGATCCAATATCTGAATATGAGCTGATTTAAATACAAAGGAACTTGGGTAAGATGTTCCCATTTAAGATCTAAGTTATCTGGTGCCAAGAATGTCCCCACAAGGCTAATATATTTTTAACCCACTTAATTTCTTGACTTCGGCACCAGATGGATGTGATTGGTCAGCTTCATGCCCCTGCTGCTTTACCCCCATGGAAATCACCCCCAGTACCCATTAGATAGGAGGTTGGATGGGCCCGAGAGTTGGTCTGGACACTGAAGAAGAGAAAAATCTTGCACTGCTGGGAATCAAACCCTGGCCATCCAGCCCATAGCCCATCACTATACCAACTGAGCTATCCCAACTTCTTTACCCATCTAATATGCTTTTCCATACTCTTTTTTTTCCAAGCTACCACCAAATTATTTGTCAGAATTGTCATCCATTTATAAGAGACGGTTACAGATAGTTTGGCCTCCTCTGGCAAACCCTCATGAACACCAGAAAATAAGTAAAATTTATTGGTTGTTTCTCATGCTTTACCAGCACTTGAATGCAGCTGAACCTAAGCAAGCATTCATATTCTTAACAATCAAGTTCCTTCCGTCAAGTGTGACGGACCAGAATGAAAGACCTTAAATTCATATTCTTTATTTCTGATGAAGGTTTTACAATTCCTTTTACAGTGTATACTGTTTAAGAAGATTTCAAAGGGGCCAAGAAATACAAATTTCTTAAGCATGGAAACTTCTTAAAAGGGCAGGCATCAAAATTAATTACATCCCTTGTAGAAAACTAATGAATATTATACTTTTACACTGATTAAATTGCTTAAAACACACTAAATGATGCTTTCAAATACATGCTTCTGCTGTCACAGTTCTGAAATGTTACTCTTTCTTGAAGAACATATGTATATAGTATCATTTGTTGTACCTTTCTTTAATACATAGTTGCGGTAAAATTTTCCAATTAACCAAAGGACTTCTGTACATCAGTTTTTGCATCTTATAGTCTTCCTAATCTCATTGTTTTGCTTAAACACCATTCACATAAATATATGGAGAAGCGGAGAGGAAGTTTCATGCATTATTAACCTCCCACTAGATGGGAGGATGGGGGGGGGGACGGGCTGATCTGGAAGCAGCAGAGAAAAGAAGAATCCTTGCCCAAGCTATAAAAATTGTATTATGAAGCATGGTAAAATACTAGGCCGCGCTATAGCTCATGTGGTTTTGTTGCTGGTTTCCCACTGCGGCGGCCCAGGTTCGATCCCGGGTCTGGTCAAGTGGGATTTAAAGTGGACAAAGTATCCCTGGGGCGGGTTTTCTCCGAGTACTTCAGTTTCTCCTGCCAATCTTCATTCCACCAAATTCTCCATCATCATAATCACCCAGGGCACGCTACAATAGGCCAATCAGTGGCCACTGTGCCGAGTGGACCCAGTTGGGCTCTGCCCCCCCCCCTCACAATAAGCGAATTTAAAAATTAAATGGTAAAATACTGAAAGAACTGAACACACTGGTCTAAAGGTAATGCTTCAGACTTCTATTTGGAAGTGCAATACGAGTACATACACTTGACAAAGGCAAAGTCTATTTATAAAAGACAAACCCATCCTCCCATCAAGCAGACAGGATGTTACATACTATGACTGCAAAGGTTTAGTTAGGCAGCGCCATAGCTGAAGTGGTTGGTCGCTGGCTTCCCACCGCGGTGGCCTGTGTTCGATCCCGGGTCTGGTCAAGTGGGATTTGTGGTGGATAAATTGGCGCTGAGGCAGGTTTTCTCCGCATACTTCGGTTTCCCCTGCCAATCTTCATTCCACCAATTGCTCCACAATCACCCTCACCTATCATCTGGGGCTGGTACAATAGGCCAGAAGTGGCCGCAGTACAAGAGACTTAGTCTCACCCCACTAGCAATTAAGAAAAAAAAACTGGTCATGAGCCTCAAGTGGCTTGGCAGCAAGACAAATTGATTGGGGATAAACCACCAGTCATAAAGTAACTCTGATTCAAACGTGTGATAATCAATAGCAGCACAGGAGACAAGAACTTACATTCTCAGGAACACTTGACTGATCAAAGAGAGTGAAGGACACAGAGTGGGAGAAAGGCCAGCGCAACAGAGCATCGTATTCGCCAGGTAGAATCTTGATGTATGTTGAAATGTGAGAGTTCTCTCCTGCACCATTGCCATTGAGAAACACAGATGCCTGCAGCAAACAATGCAGAGAAATATGTCTCCCTCTTTGTGTGTTCTTTACATAAAGACCAACACAACGTAAATCTGTGAATTTTATGACAAACATTTCATGATGCCATATACACGAGGCCTTGCATCTATAGCCATTCATAAAGCATCGGGCAGAGTCCAACCAATGTAGAAGTTGAAACTGAAGAGTCAAATTCTAAAAGAAAATATTATGAATACTACATAGAACCTAACATAAAATGAAAGCAATACTTAAATGAGGCATCTGTATGCTACCAACATAAAAACATAACTTCTATATCAGTACTATACTTATTATATAGTAAACAAATGATAATGAATTTTATGTAAAGAAACATGGAAGTTGTGTCCAAAGGTTCACAATTGTCCATGCTAATGGTAAGAACAGAATAATAAACAGCATCCTTTGTGTGATCAAAGCAAAATAAAAGACCATAAATTCCCATAATGATATGGAACCGAGAATTTCAAGCGATTGGCAGAAGAAAGGCTTCTACTAAATTTACCACCAAATGGATTCATTATGGACAACCACCATATCATAACAACAAACTCCATGGCTTTAGTTGGCAAGCGAAATTTACCGAGTGACCACAGCGAAGTTAATGCCAACTTTAGCGGATAGAGGGAGTCACGTGGTCAGCGCGATGAATCCCCATAGCCGTTTATTTCGGTTTTCTAGACCGGAGCCACTACTTGTCCATTCAAGTAGCTCCTCAATTATCCTCACGAGGGTGAGGCTTCAAGAAAATGGTCATCCAGAACTCTCTCAATAAAAATGAACTACTGTAACACGTAGAACTCCACTGACTTCAGCCAGTATATAAGATTGACGAACTGCTTAACAACCAAGAGCACCAAGTTGTTTTGACTCCCGTCATATATCCTTTAAATCCTAAGTACATCTGGAACACTGTGAAGGATAACACACTGGGGGAAAACACCAAATAATGAATAAAACAAACTGAGAAACTCACAATCGAGCCTCTAAGTGTAGAAGAATTCAGATATGCAATAATGTGTGTGAACTGAAACAACAATAATAGAGTGAAAGTATTATTAAAGAAGAAAGTGTTAATTCAACTTGGAAACAACCGAAACAAAACCAGAAGTTATACTAGCAGTGAGGATGACAGGATGTCTGACACAAAACTATTAAGTTAAAGCAAGGTACAATGAAACTGTTCCTCAATGCAGCATTGGTTCCTTCAATCATTTTATTTTCAGACCATTTTCTGGCTGTGTGACATAAGAGTTATCAACACCCTACCTCTTTGCAGCTTACCCTCCCTTCCCTACTCACTGTCCCTTGCTGCTGAGACCAATGTTAGTACCATTTCTTCCCTTTACCAGCTGTACAGTTAAGCTGGTTACATGATACTACTACTACTATTACTGATTCCAAAAAGAAGTACTATTTAATTCAATGTGTCTACCTGCAACTTGTATCCATATTGACTAGTGTAAAAAGGTGGACTGACTAATTCCATTCCTTCCTTTGTTTTTGCTTCAGCCAATTTTGATGTGTAGTCACTAATCTTCCAAATGAGTGTTCCTGCAACCAAGATACACTCATTACATGATACTTGTACTGAAATAAATATTGCTTACAAATACAAATATCCTTTGATATAAATCTCTGTATAAAAGGCCCTGCATATATAATAAAATGTGTATAATAATAAACATTCATATTGTTTGACATCAAGCAAGTAAATAAATTTAAAATTGTGGGATGCCTCTCTTTAAGGGAAGTTGAGTGCCTACCACCTCATGGCCCCGTTGTTTGAAAAATAGGACTCTTTAGTGTCCTGTTGTTTGGGCTGTGCTGTGTTGTAATATATAAAGGACATGAACCGAATTGGTTCTCAAAATTTTAACAAAGTCTTTTTTAAACCACATTTGTAAACAGACTAACTGTAATAATTTATAAATATTTTAATGTATTCATGCACATTGCTGTAGTTGTTAAAGGGTCAGATTTTATACTCATGGCATTGTGATGATATTTTATGTATGTATTAATATTGACCAATCACATTGCAATAGTAGTTTCCATCTGTATTGACATATCCTTCTGAAGATGGTGTCTAAGACCGAAACATGTCAAGGATGAAAGATTAAAAAGGAGAGAAAGAAGAAACATTTTATCAGTCACACTGGACAGAGCTGATTAACCTTTTATAATATTAAATGTTATATCATAAGCAGCATTTGATTCCGGTATGACTCATCATCTAATCTACAGTATAGTTCACTAATGAGGGCAAATATGGGACCATGGAAGTAGACTCCACATTTTTTAAGAATTTAGCACTGGAGTGAGTGGCTAGTTTCATCCTTCAGTTGCATTTCCATCCTGAGCACTCATTAATATCTTGCAGAATGGTCTAGTCTGGACTCTAGACTGTGTGCTCATCTTCACCTGTATGCCCACCTACTCCTTTATAGTATAGTGTACAGGCACCACAGGATTCCTCTACATTAACATTTTATATGTATGTAGGTGACCAACTAGCAAAGAGCACTGGCCTAGTAATGTTTTTGTTTTCTTGGTGGTTAATGTGACAATTTATCAAATATGTGATAGTCGTTCTATTACCTGAATAGTTAAGAGACATCCGAGAGAGGGTGCTCTTGAGACTGGCAATCTGATGCTGCTGTTTGGAGACCACAAAACACATACGTTCAAGGTGATGCTTTGTGTTCTCATCAACGTGCTTCTCCAGAGCGTAACGATTCCCCTGAGAACATACAGCAAACCCTATATGTAGTCTATACTTCTACAGCACTCATAGTACCACCCCTTTCATTATAAACACAAAAGTATGAGTTTTTGGAAATAAATGTTTTAGGTGTTCTTTATGTACACTTCTAAGCTCTTATCACAGCTTTGTCAAAAATATATAACATGCCCACTTTTCATTTAATTGGTTATGTTAACGCTGCTGTTAGAATTGAGACTATGTTAGCATCAGATGACAGGATAATTAATGAAAGCGGAGTGGTTGCTAGAATGAGAACTGCCAGGAATAACCGAAGTTCTCAGAGAAAACCCACTCTGGTGCCACTTTGTCCACCACGAATCACATGTAACCTGACCCACAGCTGAAAAGGGGCTGGCAAATAGCCACCAGAGCTGTGGCATAGCCAGTTTACACAGTCCTTAACAGTAAAGCTCAGTCAGTATACTTGCTACAGAATGGAGAACCTCGGTTCATTTTACAAAAGGGTAGACCTTAGAGCCTCCACATCTTCATAACAACTATTCTGACCTTTTCACTTTATTAATGTGTAAAGACTAAATTTCTGTCAAGTGTTACAAATTAATAAATAAATAAAATCTTTTGTCACCATACATGTTTCAACCACAAGTGATGAACTTCAAGAGAAGATCCAACAATTCAATGGGCATATAGTGCTCTCTTCCTGGGACTAAATAAGCCAGCCACTTTCACTAGCTCAGAGGTTAAGAATGAACCATACCACCATCCCATACACATCTTTGTGCACAGAGCTTATATACAACGACAACTTCACCATTACCTTATTCCTCAACAATGCAATACTTCGTTGAAGTTCAGATTATTATGTTACAAATTTATATACAAGAAATTTGCTTTCTATAAAGCATACCAAAATAAATTTGTAATGTTATCCATTAACATGGATTTTAAGTTTTCATACCACTGACTATGAAGTGTAATATTTTTTGGGATGCAGTGCAATAGAAGTACACCAAAATTTTGGAGGAACGTACTGCCTCCACCTTTAAGATCAAAGCAGACAGTAAGCACAGCCCTGATACATGCCTGCTTCTTGCTGGTTTCTTGCTTGGCGAACTCTTTGACCCTGATGACAGAGGCAGTACGCTCCGAAATGTCAGTGGACTTCTGCCAGACTACGTGGCATTACATTCCAAGACACTATTCATTATTCATCTAGTTGAATATGCTGGACACTGAATTTTAACAATACATCACTTATGGAATTTCTGTGAAATGCTCAGATAAGGGGGAGCGTGTTTAAGCATATCTTACAAAATAATTACTTCTGTGATTGGCTTATTCTCTGTTCATTATGGTGTAGCTGTTAACATGCCTGTGTCATGTCTGACATGTTCCAGGTTTCAGTCCTCACCTAGAAACTATCATACCATCCTACACTGATATCTTGAAACTGTGGTTCTTTTGTGGTTTCCTCAGTCCATACAGGAGAATGCCAGAATAGTATCTTAAATAGTCCACAACCATTTCCTCATTCCTTATCATTTTGCTGTTCACTTAATAAAGCACCTTTAACTGAACCAAGAAACAGTCATGTTTCTATAATTCAATATAGCAAAACATCTTATCTACATTTTTATTGGATATCTTGGACTCTGTTTTCATATATATTTTACCTTATTTGAATATCTGGATGGCAATGAATGTAGGAATTTGGATGTGTTCAGCTTTCAGTCTGAAGAGATGTTTGCTAATCACAGTGAAGTGACAGTCATGCTCACCTTCAGCACGTTAACTTTGAGTATGGTAGCAGAATGTGCCTCAGTATGCAACTTAATAATGGTTTCCTTCTCTGTGCCAGAAAGGAAGATGCAAGGAATATGAATACAACCATATATGATTTGAAACTTTCAGTCCAAATACATGCAATATCTTCTCCAACAATCATCCATGTCCACATGGGGTCTCTGGAATGTCAGATACTAACATCTTATTCACATGGCTGTTCAGCCAAGAAGACTTCACTAAATACAATCATACATGGAAAAATTTGCACATAACAACCAACAAAGCGAAGAGGCCGTTACTCACCTTGAACCTACAACCAGCATCTCTGAAAGGACAGCATATGCCAAATACAGGACACTGGTCCTTAAGGTGTAGATCTAGGTCTTCCCGTGCCAAAATGGAAGCATCACATTGGTTGGGGCAAGCAACTGGAAAGCGACCGCACTTTGTATGATGCACCTGTAGGGTATCAGCAACGAACTCCTTGCTGCAATACCGACAAGGCACCAGACGCTTGGAGCACTCTGCCGCTTTGTGTTGTGTGAGATGTCGTCTCTGAACCTTCATGCCACACTTGTTTTCACAGTATATTGGCTCAAAGCCACAACTGCCCGAATGATTCTATAAACAGCAAGTGCACAGAAGTTTACAGAGTACATACAATATGTGAAACATTATAAATAACTAAAAGAAGAACAAGGCTTCATAACTTGTACTCACTCAATATGTTATGATAAGTGGAAGAAGGGTTGAACTTAAAAAGATGGGCATGAATGTAGCATGGTGGAATAAGAAACTCATATCAAATAAAATTTCTGATTGTAAACCCAAAGAAGGTAAACCACTTGAGAAAGCTGGTCAGAGATGGGAGGATAATATCAAGAAAAACTCTCTGCCCATGCTGCTACAATCTTTTAGACATTATTTATTTCGTAGGTAAATTATCATATTCCTTAAAGTTGATAGTTTGAATTACAGAAATGTTACCACAATGTTCTTTGGCCCTGAACTCTTTTGGTAGTTCAATTGCTTGCTCACACCAGCTCTGAGGACTGGTCTTCTGCCAAATGGCATCTCTTGATAACTCCTCTAATCACTGGCACAAGAAAGACAAAAATAAAGAACTGCCATAAAACCAATATTTTGCTTCATTTTTAAAACATGACTTCTCTGCAAAAAACCTGTCATATTCCTTCAAGCTGGTAGTTAAGTTGTAATAAAATAACGAGGACTTTATATATAGGGCTAACAATGGGAGTTCTGGAATCTTGTGTTCACTCACCTCAAGTGTGTGGCCAGTGAAGTCCTTGCCGCAAAATTCGCACCTCGCCCGCCGTTGTGGACATGTATACTTAAGATGATCCTCCATGAGGACACGTGGAATCTGCGCCCCACATTTATTGGTGCATGGAACAGCATCATGCTTGCATGTGTTAAGATGAGCCTGTCAAAACAGAACCCATATTTTCACAGATGACATCCTGGTGAAGTCTCTGACACCTAACTGGAGATGGAACATGACATGTTCAAAGTTCAAATATCTGTGCCCTCCCCCTTCCAGTTTGAAGAAACAGAGAACAAAACACTAACAGCAAATCTTCTGACACTTACTTTCCAACCTTATAAGCCCTCTCATTTCATTCATGGTCCACTCAACATTCAGTAATTTATATTTTAAATTTTGCATTGTGATTGATACAAGTTAACATTCACACCTTGGCCAGTTTCACTCCTCACCTCCATACCTCCTGTCTCTGAGTATAACCATTCAATCTGGCATTAAAAATATTTAGTTTTTATATGCCAAATGCCTTGATGTCGCTCCGTTGTGGGTGTTGCTTCCACAGAATCTGGAGTCAAATTTACGTACTGTCTAAATGAGGGGAAGGGAGGCTCCAGCTGATGGTAAAACCCCAAATCGGGAGAATGGCTGGGATCAGTAGGCTGATAGATGGTGAAGATGAAGGTATACAACACCCACGCTCCAGATGGAATTCCAATTCATTGCCCAGCCAAGTGACTGCTGGAATTATTGCTGAGGAAATGACACTGCAAAACCTATTTTTTAAAAGAACACTTTATGCATGCTCTCTGTAGTTTCTTATGTGAGGATGTTGATCTGTCTCGCACAAATAATTTAGAATCCTCTGGACAACGTTCATGAAATTCAATACGAACATCATGCGAACTGAGGCTACCCCCCACACTTGGTTTCAACTGTACACAGATGGGGTCGTGAATGTGGTAATGGAATGTTATAGTGTAACTTTTGTTAACAATGAGAAAAGTACATTCTTCTTGATTGTACTGCTATGTAGCTCAGCAGAAGTTCAGTGCTTTTGAGATATGCATCACCTCCATTTACAGGATCGAAGTGTAAGCCCAGCAAGAAAGCAGCACAACCAGGCAGCAAGCAGAGCTTTTCAGTCGTCATAGTCACTGCTGTGAGAACCTCAAATCCAGCTTGGTTAATATTGTTTTTGTGTAAGGTAAAAGGTGAAGCAGCCGGTCACGGTAGCCGAGTGGTCTAAGGCGTGCATTGTCTTCGCTCGCTCAGAAGCCGGGATCGTGGGTTCGAATCCCACTCAGGGCAATGGATGTTTGTGTACAGGTAGAGGCCTTGCGACGCGTTGATCACCCGCCCAAGGAGTCCTACCGAATGTCTAAGATTTAGAAAAACCGAAGTGAACGGAGAAGTTCATGGAGGTAGGCCTGGGCCCACTGGGGCTGTAGTGCCAAGGAAAAAAAAAAGGTGAAGCTGTCCCAGTGCTTAACTAATTAAGCACTACGCCACGAAGACGTACAGGGGAAGTGGATGTATGGAGATCCGCATTTTCTTGACCTCGGCTCTAGTTGGAGGTGAATGGTCAGGTTCAAGCCCCGGCGGCTTTATAGCCGGTACCCACTGTATAGGAGGTTGGGTGGACCCAAGAGCAGGTCTTGGCGATTGGAGAAGTGAAAATTCTTGACCTTACCGGTACTCGAACTCCGACCCCTGAGAAATTCATTATTTTGGGGTGCCCCACTGTAAAACATAATGAATTTAAAACAGTTTAGTACACTGTGTAAGGTTTGAGGTTTTCACGGCGGTGACTATGAAAAATGCCGTTTTCTGGGATGTGGCGTCGTGCAGATCTTGTGTAAACCGACGTTTCAGAGGAACGTATCGCCTCCATCTCCACCTGTTCACTCTGGTTCCTCGCTCGCGGATTTTTCTACCCTGAAGATGGAGGCGATTCGTTCCTCCGAAACATCGGTTCACACAAGATCTACACGCCAACACATCCCAAACACGGCATTCTTCTTGTTGAGTACACTGCTTTACAAATGTTATTAAATTACGTAGTTCCAAATTTAAACAGTTTAGTGCTGCTACTTTGCTGTGATTTTAATTCATTTACTGTCTTAACTATTCACGTGTGCTGGCCTGGCACTCGGTTCCGCAAAGCACTACCGGCTATTTACTGTGTCTGTTGATATTATTATATCACCGGATGCAGAACCTCACATCCTCATTTAAGACATCAACACCGCTTATGTGACCGACACTGATGCCCCATGTAATGTTTTGTTTGCAGCAGTTGTAACAGCTGACGTGACATCCTTCTTATAACACCCCGTCTGATAGCAAATTTCAAGTGTTAATTATAATTCGCGTGTGACTAAACTTGCGTTTAACTCGGATTCTCTTGTCACAGTCGACTCATATAGTGACGTGACATCCTTGCTGTTGGCACGTGACCCCATGCAGCGGATTCGACAGACAAATGTTTCCGTTCTCCGGGTCTGACATCCTGCTGTCGGTCCCCCACACATTGCTAAAACACTGAAAACGGTTACTACAACCAGCGGCCCGTCGACCATGGTGTCTGTACAGCGAACCTTCATGGTTCTTTCAAAATTGATTCAGGTCTACAATGTTAGTATTGTGACGTGCTGCCTGAAAGCCGGACTATAGGACATCGATCGCTGCGCAACGGACAATGAGAACGCGTGCTACCTAGGAAACTGTCTACCCAACAGAAGCAGAATTGTTGAATTCCCGCTGCAACGGATATATCATCTAACAGCAACAAGGTGTCCTCTATCACGTCCGAGCATAGGATATAAGCGAAGAACAATTCAGGGGACCAAGTCAGTTCGTATCCGACGAGAGCAAAGTCGAATCAGCTTCGACGAGAGGTAAGGCCAGTTCAAATCCGACAAAGAATAAGAGAAGAACAAAGACCCAAGACGCTCCACGGAGATTAGCGATGCACGTATAACCTTTGAAGAAGACGTGTCTTAAGGCGTTATAAGTGCGAATAATTGTAACAGTGAGTGTAAAATGTGATTGTCCAATAAACATCTTCATCTAATACGAGACCCACATAAATTTCTTGTCGCGTTACCTAGGAAACACGCGACAATACATTAAAAAGTAATTCTGTTCTTCTAGCTTGTTTTACTACAATACACGTGCTGTTCTCGAGTTCACACAATCGCTTTACGGAATGAGTCATGATTAGGAATCTCCCTAATGCATTTGTCCTCAGTCATCAAGAAAACAGGAGGTGGGTTACCGACGCAAGAATTTTCCAAGATCAAGAATCCTGCGGACTCTGATGAAGAACTGACCAGTAAGTTAGAGATACATATGAGCCTTCTTCTGTCGTTAAAGTCTCGAAAGAGGGGATAGGATCAATCAGTTCAACAGCCCGTCTACTTGTACAAAAACATGGATACTTTGTTTCACCCTCACCCGTCCTTTGTTCTTGTATGGCACGAGGGACTAGTGCAGTCCACAGCCTTCTGGTCTACGGATTTCGGAATCTTATTGCCAGATATTTCCCCCCAAAGGTGTCTCCACCTTGTGGTGGTGGGACTTGCGTGACTCTGTGATCTGAAGAGCTATGCCGGCGGTTGTTTAACTACCAGTAGAGTCACCCATGCCGGAAAGGTCAAAGGATAGAGTCCTGACTAAGAGAGATACCCTGGTCCTCCAGGCTGGGGGTTGGGCATGAGGCTAACAACCTCATCCTGTAAAGAGAATTTTGTTCAGAAATCTAACAACCAGCCTCGAGTCATCATGCGTGGGTCCATTCCTACGGCAGCACGCACTGGTTATGGAGACTGGTTGTAGAGGAGGCCAAGGCTCACCCAGGGCTGTAGCACCGAGTGGTATGTAGGTAGGTAGATATTCCCAGATATCTGGTAGGAATCCCTATATGGATGCTCGGCCCGTCGCAAGGCCTCTATTTACACAGGATAACAAAGCACAGCAAAACGACATCCACGACCCCAGTGTTCAAGTGAGAGAAGACAGTACACGCCTTAAACTGTGCGGCCACTGTAATCAACCCTCTCCCGCAACCCTTCATAAACTCTGTTTTACTGGCAGTAACCTCCTCAGTGTTGCGTTTTATACTATGTTACAGGATTGAAATGTGAACTTTTTCCAGTGTCGTGAAGAATTATCTTATCTATACCATGTATTCACAAAATATGGAATTGTCAAAGAAACTGAAAATGTACGAGTCTTGCCGTTTTTTGGGGGGAGGGGGAGGCCGAAAATTACATATTTCTAAAGTAAATACACGTCCCTGATTTGTCTGGACACCATTTCCGCGTTTCAAGAGGCTCCTTCACATTTTAGAGTTAAATATGCATATTTGAAAGCAGCAGGTTATTATGACACTGAAGTTTTTCTTTTCCAGATAACAGTTCAGATGAGATTCTACTGCAGTTTGCATGTTTGCGTCTCTGTTTGACGTAAATTTTGAGACACAGATATACCAAACGCAGCCCTTAGAGAATGACAGAACAGTAAGAAATGAAATCAGATTTCTGAATACATCTCTAAAGGAACTCCGTACATCCCTCTCTCAACAATTTCTCCTCGCCCTTCCAGCCTCGTCATTGCACTTACGAACTTATCTGGACGTGCCTGCAGTTGTGAGCAACTATTTGTCGTATAATTTCCTTCCACAAGGAAAAAAACTGGTTTATGAGATCCATGCTCTTAAGAAAAGTGACCGATTTTTAGTACCAAGAATCTTCCTGGGGTGGTAAAGTGTGGCCGGAGCGTAAGCCTGACACCATTACCGCCATATGTGAGCCGATTGTTTAGATAATGTGGGACCCTCAACGTCTCGCAACTCAATGGGCCTCCATGGTCTGTTACAGGATACATTCATATTTAAAGTGATTATTCTGAAAAGCGACGTAACAAATATCTTAGTAATTCAATGAAAAGTACCGCGTGAGCAAAGTTTATCAGGAAAAGAGAAGCACAGAACGACAAAGATGATGGAGAACACTACTGTTAATACAATTTGTGAACATTCGTTGGGATTAAAAATATCGAGGCAAACAGGTTGAGAAACAACGCATTAAAAAGCGTGGAATATGGAATCTCCTGTACAAAAGAGTTTCGTATACTGAAGACTGGCGCATCGGGTTCCTGCCGTTATCTTACACGTAGCAAAACTCAAACATCTTAATCAAGTTGAAGTTTTCGGAGTACCGTCATGAATGTATGGGCGCAAATAAATTAAACACATATAAGTCTGTAGTGTACAACCTTTCCTTATCACATGGGTCAATATAAAAGGCTCAAAACTGCGTCTGATCAGTGAGCCAAATGATAAATTATTTATTTCATTGGATATATTTTACGTTGTTTTCGAATAACAATAGTACGTCTACGTTTATTAGTGACTATAGTAATAGAAAGTTAAAGGAAAGCCTATTTTGGACTACTGAGAGAAATTTATGTTGAACCCAATAAACTTCGAGCAATGCCATAGTTTTGAACTCTTGCAGCATGTAATAATCCCAAACTTTTTTTCGTAACTACAGAAATCCAATTTCACACGTGTATGCTGTGATTAGCACGCAAACGCCCGACTCTCGGGGAGATGTGCCCTCGACATAAAGCAACGAAAGTTTACTGAACCACTGATTCGGTGAAGAATCAGAATAACTTTTATTTAGCTGCAGGAGAAATTATCCGCGGAACCCCAGGCCTTCGCAGAACTCGATCTGAGAATTGCTACCCTATTCATGCGGGAAAGCAATGGGTTTCCATTAGCGCTGTTTCTAACCAGAACATCCGCTGCTTCAAGAAGAGAGGCTCTGTTGCATTCTTGCAGTATGTGGTCGTAAGGAGACAAACGGCCGCTTCGCTCATTAATTTATTTTTTGTTCCTATTTTAAACAGATACTCACTTTATGAATAAACGAAACAATACATATAATAAATTTACTTACTTACTTACTTACTTACTTACTCATGGAGCTGAGCCCTTCTTGAGCCGCCAATTCTACAGCTACTCAAGAATTTCCCAGCATTTTATGGAACACGAAAGTTCATTACCGTGTTCACATGAGCCCTCCACTGGTCCCTATCCTGAGCAAGATCTATCGAATCCATCCCATCCTATCTAAGATTCATTCTAATATTGTCCATCCACCTATGCCTTGGTCGTCCCTGTGGTCTCTTTCCTTCTGGCTTTCCCACCAATATCCTATACGCATTCGTCTCCCAATTCGTGCTACATGACCTGCCAACCTCATCCTCCTTGACTTGATCATTCTAATTATACTTGGAGAAGAGTACAAGTTATGAAGCTCCTCATTATGCAGTTTTCTCCAACTTCCTGTCACTTCATCTCTCTTCGGTCCAAATATTTTCCTTAACACCCTGTTCTCAAACACCCTCAGTCCATGTTCCTCCCTTAATGTCAGAAACCAAGTTTCATACCAATACAGAACCACAGGCAAAATTATACTTTTGTATATTCTAATTTTTATGTTTTTGGACAGCAGACGAGAAGGTAATAAATGCAATAAAACAAAAATTTTAAAACTATCTAAATGAAAAGTTTCAGTAGAAATATTTTTATTTCATACATATTCTTAGCGACCTCAGTTTCAAGTTTCCTCAGGAATGACTAAAAGCACGAAAATGCTTACAGTGCATAAAATATTTACTTTAGGGATATATATAGCCGTTGCTTGTGCGTTTTATTTTTCCACTTCTGGTATGACTAGAAAAATATACGTTAAAGTTGTGCTCTACTTCAAATATACTCGTAATTAGGATGATCAAGTCAAGGATGATGAGATGGGCAAGGTATGTGGCATGCATTGGGAGGATACATATAGAATTTTGGTGGGAAAACCAGAACAAAGAGGCCAATAGAAGAGCTACATGAAAGTGGGAGAACAACAGTAAAATGGACCTTAGAAAAAAATAGGGTGGGGTGGACTGGACTGATCTGTTTCAGGGTAAGATCAGTGGCGGGCTTTTGTGAACACGGTAATGAACCTTTGGGTGGGCCGCGCCATAGCTCACGCGGTTATTCACTGGTTTCCCACCCCGGTGGCCCGAATTCGATCCCGGGTATGGTCAAGTGGGATTTGTGGTGGACAAAGTGGGGCAGGTTTTCTCCGAGTACTTCGGTTTCCCTGCCAATCTTCATTCCACCAATTACTCAACAATCACCCTCACCTATCATCTGGGGCTGGTACAATAGGCCAGAAGTGGCCGCAGTACAAGGGACTTAGTCCCACCCCACTAGAAATAAAATAAAACCTTTCGGTTCCAAGTTCAATGTTAGGAAATTCTTGAGTAACTGAACGACGGGTAGCATCTCAAGGACTCGGCTCCATGGAGTTAGTTAGTTTGATAATTACTCAGTCTCTTCGGCTGACAGCTCAAATCGACATTTAAAAATTGGCTTTCCTTAAAGTCAAGATCGACAAATGGTTCAGGATTAATACTCATGAGAGATATAGGCATGGTACGCCTGCAAGACACTCTTAGTGTTATTTTGCTTCAAGTAAACTTCGAAAAGGATGCTTACTCATACTTAGACCCACACCTTTCTTGAAGCGTTTCTTTTTTCAGTTTTTTTTGTGACCTTCATGAGACAAATGACTACGTTCGTTTGCAGAAGGTTGGACGTTATTAACCGATAAGGCCAAAATTTATATTCTGAACTTTAGTTTTGCTTGGGGTCAAAATTCGGCAAATGGCTCAAGGATTAACAGCAGTGACACATACACACAGACGAACTACAAAACCATCTTTTTTACTATAAACCTCTGTAACATCTTATAAACATCTAAACTATTCCTTCCAGCCTATCGAATTATCCTAATTCATTCGCATAGTGGGGGGTGGAGTCCAACTGTGTCCACTCGGCACGTCGGGCACTGATTGGCCTCTTGTACCTGCCCCGGGTGATTATGATGATAATGATTGGAATGAAGATTCGCATGGGAAACCGAAGTACTCAGAGAAAACCTGGCACAGCGCCACTTTATCCACCACAAATCCCACTTGACCAGACCCAGTCTCGAACCCAGGCCGTCGCGGTGGGAAACCAGCGACTAACCGCTTCAGCTATGGCGCGGTCTTTCAAATTATCCTATCTTAAGAAGTAACGTCCCTACTTTGTTGAAAATGTAGACATAATTACGTATTCTATCCTATGTACTCTAGGAATAACATATGTAACAACTCACTGGAAATGGATCAAACTTCCAGAATATGAAATCCATTTTTTTCTATTTGTAACTGTTCACCTGATGATATTTGATCGAAACATGTCGCGATTAAAATATATTACATTAATTTGTTGTCAATATGAATGGTGTGTAGGCGGTTACTGAAACAGTAGGACTTCAGCACACAACAGGATACAGAAAGTAAGATTAAAATGCTCCTTACCTTTAGTTTCCGCAGCTCCCCCGTCCACTTACAGCCTTCTTTGTGGTGGATGCAATATACCACAGAGCCCATGATGGCTTTTTCTGAGTCCGGGTCTGGATAAATCTGAAACACAAAGAAATAAACCGACCATGAAGTAAGTAAGGGTTCTGCTCGACGGCTCGGGCCCGTTGCACGTGAACAGATGTGGTACACAGTACAGTTCCGTAATAAGCGATCAAGTAAAATTCCACCAAGTCCTGCTTTGGTTAGTTCAGGCAGGCAGTCGAGTAGATCGACAGGACAACAGATAAATAAGAAAAACTGGTTTATATTCCACAAAGAATGGCAACCATATTCCAACACGAAGGTTCGAGGCCGTAAAGAGTGCTCCCTTTCGACGTCAGATTTCAAGTCTTTTTAAGTGGTTGTCCAAGTGATCGTATTCGTTTTGTACGGTACATACTTTAAGGTTGTATTTTGGGGCGGGGGGGGCAGTCGTCTTCCATTCAGTAGATGCACTGTAACCATTCAATTCTCTAAGCCTACGCGTGTAACTTGTTTTTGGCGTTCTTTACAACGTCGAAATGAACACCCTTCAGTGAGGCCATGTCTGTCCAACTAACAGTCTGTTTGTGACTTGACATCAGTGGTGCCTAGACCGTTCGAATGACTGCCTATTAGAATTCGATATGGGAGACTTTCAGTTGTTGGAAAATGTCAATTTTGGTTAAATTCAGAAAACTAACAAACATTTTACGAGTATATGAAGACTACAAGCGTGTTTGCGAGTACTCTGGATTTGTATTTCGAAATATTTATCAGGCCGAAAAATGTTTCAAACAGAAATTGCAGAGAAACTGAGAACACATTCCACAACCATTGCATTCTTTGTATGGGACGGGCCGTAACACAGTTCAGGCGACTTTCCACGGCGGAGGTCCGGATTCAATTTCAGATTAGGTAATGTGGGATTTGTGATGAACAAGGCGGCACTGGGGAAGGTTATTTCCGAGTAATTTAGATTTCTCATTCCACTAACTGCTGCACATTCATTAATTATCCAGTCATGCAACGCTGTATAATCTCGATGCTGACAGTGCTGTTAAATTACCAACTTTAAAAAATGTTGGGCCCACTGAGCTTCTGAGCCGCGGGGTAAAGTTCTCGGGGTACGAAGCTGACCACTCGCCTGCAACAAGCGCGGAGCTATACCTCCCCTTTCTGGTGCTTAATTAGACAGAGGTCTACTTCTCCACAGCGTGGTGCTTGATTACGCACAGGGTTATATAAACCTTTACTTAAGCGGCCTCCGTAGTCTAGAGGTAACGTTCCCACCTCATGACTCGTGGTACGCGGGTTCAAACCCGGCGGGGGTCGTCGAATTTTTAAGGGCGGAAAAATTCAGGGAACAAGTCCTCCAGGAGGGACTTTAAGCCGTGTGTCCCGTGTCGTAGCTTTACGGCACGTAAAAGAACCTCCTACCTCCCAAGGAAGCCACT